GTTGGCTTTGTGCCGAGAGAGAAGAACAGAATCTAAGGAAAGAAACCGAGGATAAGGAGGGTCTAGAAGTGTACGGAATGTTGAAGGAAGGAATGAGGTTCAAANACGCTGGAAACGGAGGGTCTACAGGGGTTCAAGGAGAAGATATCTGTTGGCTTTGTGCCGAGAGAGAAGAACAGAATCTAAGGAAAGAAACCGAGGATAAGGAGGGTCTAGAAGTGTACGGAATGTTGAAGGAAGGAATGAGGTTCAAAGATTACCTACATCGACCAATGGATGCAGGAACAAAGCTTAAGGTCAAATTCAGGACCAGGGACATGAAATTTGGAGAACGTCGGCGAAGACATAGGACGGTAGAAGAAGACGACGAGTTCAGATGTGATTGCGGCTTCGAATGCGAAGACCGTGTTCATGTAGTTGCGGAATGTCAGTGGTACAAGAAGGAGAGGGAGGTGTACACGACTGAGCTGGGAAAAATACAAGGGACGTACAGGGAGATGTTTGAGGCATGAAATATAGATGAAAGGACGGGAGCGGTACTGGGGAGAGTGGTTTGAAAAGGCGGGAAGGGATATCGTTGGGATAGACAGACTAGGGAAGACATTGTTGAGCCACCTTTGGCAGAGTAGAAAGGAACGATTTGCCATCGGTGATCGGTCCTGTGGGAAAAGTGCTCCGTCCTCTCGAGGACGCGTGGTCGATGGTGTAACCGCTAAGGCATGCACAACATAATAGTACGCACCCCCCCCGCCGGTGTTTGCCATCGGGATTGGGTTTTCGTCGCTTGGCAATGACGTTGTAAAACAAGCCGATCACTTCGTAAGCTCGGCAACCGGGTTACCGCTTTTTTTTTGCGGTAACCATGAATGGTCGAGTACATTATCTTGTGCGGCGTCGAGAACACTCACTCCGCGCAAAAGGGGATAATTGCACCACGTTGTGTTAAAATGGCCAAGCACCCTCGAGGTAGTTACACAGTGCTTACAACTGTCTCTGGAATTGAAAGCACCAGAAAATAAATTAAGTCGCAGCGGTCGTCCGTACGCCAGGAAGTAAGCACAAGATGCCGAACACCCTTGGCAGGATGAATCGCNCTAGATGTGTATAAGAGACAGGTTACACAGTGCTTACAACTGTCTCTGGAATTGAAAGCACCAGAAAATAAATTAAGTCGCAGCGGTCGNGGGATAGACAGACTAGGGAAGACATTGTTGAGCCACCTTTGGCAGAGTAGAAAGGAACGATTTGCCATCGGTGATCGGTCCTGTGGGAAAAGTGCTCCGTCCTCTCGAGGACGCGTGGTCGATGGTGTAACCGCTAAGGCATGCACAACATAATAGTACGCACCCCCCCCGCCGGTGTTTGCCATCGGGATTGGGTTTTCGTCGCTTGGCAATGACGTTGTAAAACAAGCCGATCACTTCGTAAGCTCGGCAACCGGGTTACCGCTTTTTTTTTGCGGTAACCATGAATGGTCGAGTACATTATCTTGTGCGGCGTCGAGAACACTCACTCCGCGCAAAAGGGGATAATTGCACCACGTTGTGTTAAAATGGCCAAGCACCCTCGAAGAGGTTACACAGTGCTTACAACTGTCTCTGGAATTGAAAGCACCAGAAAATAAATTAAGTCGCAGCGGTCGTCCGTACGCCAGGAAGTAAGCACAAGATGCCGAACACCCTTGGCAGGATGAATCGCACCCTTCATGCGACTCGCCGAATACCTCACGGCGCTTCGCGCTCGGTGATGTGAGAGCCTGGTCCGGTGAGAACCCGGCGTGCTCCGTCCCGGCTTTGTAGGGATGCGAGGTCAATGGTCTACCGACTACGGCATGCACAACTATGAGTACACCACGCCCATTCCCGTCCGCACACGGCCTGCCTGGTACCTCGTCGAAAATCCAACGCCGCTCCATTCCGGTGTAACACGTGACGGTCTGAATGACGAACTACGATCAAAAAGCCACTCTAAATTGAGCACCAAAGTAAGTTCCGTGTGTTGAAGGGCCGGTCGACTGACCTTGTCGTTGATGAAAACATCGCCCATGTCCACGTACGCGAGCGGTTCCTCCGATCCAACCGTGAACCTGGCGAGCCACATGCCGCCAAACAATACGGTTGTGAGAACAAGTCGGTGAGCCGGGGGGCGGGGCGGGGGGGGGAAGTCGGCAGAGAGCAAAAAAAAAAGCCCGATCAAACCCGGCCCAACGCTAATCGTGTCGGAGCAACAACTCCCCAAAAACGGTAAAATAAGAAGACGATTACAACTATATACCACGGAAGGGCGCAGGCAACGTGCTATTTAGATGCCGTATCATCACCACACGGAAAAATACGAGATAATCCATGCCGTCACAACTGTTTCGGCAATATAAAATGTCTGGCTGGTGCGCTGGTGTGCGCTGCTGCTGACGGGCCAAACTTTTGTTCTTTTCTTTGTGCAAGACAAAATCTAGACCCGTGAGAAGGCGATGTACCGCCGTTCAGGAAACCTGAGAAAGCGGATGCGATTCACCTGCCTTGCCGCAGATATTTCGGAAGCCTCCACAAGATGTTGCCTTTGCGCAATTCTCTCTATCGGATAACAAGGCGGCCGTAACTTTTTGCCGCCGTCGGTGTTTACATGCATACACGAAACATAAGGTGTGCGCTAATCTTTTGCATACGCATCCACGACCATCAATTCGAACAACATTCTTGCTGGGTGGAGGAAAAAAATCAATTCAATACTATTTGCTCCAACAGTCGAACCTGTAGCCCGGGCGTTTGTTTACCTACATGCTACGCAACCAGTGGACACGAATACTGCAACCAGTGGTCTTGGTATGAATATGTGTCTGGACATATGTAACTTCATCAAGAACGACACCAATCGAAGCCAATACTGATGCCCCATTCGGCAACCTTGTTGTGGGCATGGCACACACGAAGGAATAGGTGTTCTACACCGGAGTTGTGACAGCAAGGTAAGAAGTTGAGAGCTGCCGGCCGGCAAGAGTCTGACACAGCAGACAGCACCAAACAGCTAGTCTACACAACCTCCCCCCGCCTCGAAACTTTTAAAACAACCAGAGGGAGCAAGCAGGTGGAGACGAAACCCCTCGTTGACTATCTACGCCTTATTGACCCCGTACGATGCAAGCGCTAAGCTGTTAGAAAGAAGCTGCTTTCCGTTCGACCCGTGGGTTTCAGCGGGGAATTGATCGCGGGTCGGACGAACAAGGCGGAGGGAAAAAACGGCCCGTCGACCAGCCGCGAGCGACAGCAGCAGGCAGCAGGCAGCACTGCTGCATTTTGAGGAGGCAACGGCACGCCCTGCTGGGCGATGCGCCTACGCGCTGCCCTCCACGCTGCATGGACAAGGCGGTCGGCACACGGACCACTCAACACATGAGCGCCAATGGCGATCACACCCGGCGGGGACTATTCGGGCCGCTTCCCCCCCCTCGGATCCACCCATTATTTACGTATACCACTGGTGCTCTCTCCCCTTTGGCCCCACGAGCAAGCCGCCAACAACCGCGACCCCTTAGATAACGCGATCGATGGATTTGGCTACGCCTTGAAGAGGTCCACTGGGGTGTTCAACGGTCGCGACCCTGTAGTACATAACTCTCGAGCCACAGCCATGAGATGCATGCAACCCAGCGATTTTTCCAACATCAACCATCTGATGCGTCGTCTAAACATGATGCAAACGGCGGTGTGCAGGCTATATTTCGTGGAAGAACGTACGCAGACATGGAGACGAAAAACGGTTGTCGTTGTTGATTGCCAGACCGCGCGAAAGGAAACCAGGAACAGCAGTGCTACTGGTGGTGGTTCTTCGCCCGCTAGGAGCTGCCTGGCTTCGACAGCAGGGAGATACCGAACAGCAGACGCGCCAGTCGACGAAAAAAAAAGCCGCCCCACCAGCTGCTTTTCTGTGTGTGGTTCCTGCTGACTCTATCGGAAAGCGGTCTCCCACCCGCTGGGAGCGTGCCGATTTACAAAGGAATGGAACGACGATCAGTTATCTTTACAGCCTTCCGAGAAGAGGGGAACACTACACCTGGAGCACTCCTATCCCCCCCCCAAAAAAAAACAAAGACTGGTTTGCCGTGCATACAAACTTCTGACTATCTGAACGTGTTCTACTACTTTGGACAGCGCCTCTAGATTCCACAAGCGTATCTCTCGCCTGTGTGCGGTTTTTCTCTCTCTGCAGACTCTATTTTTTCGCCAAGCAACGAAGAAAAACATGCTAAGAACTTACACGTCCAGGGGTCCCGGTTCGTCTTGCTCGTCGCCATCCCTGAAGTCGAGATGCTGCCGCCGAACCCTGCTGGGCTCAGGAGGGCGGGGAGGCAGGGCCATCTCGGCTTTCCACCGTTGAGAAAGCGTGGATGTGTCGTGGATGACTTCACACTCGTTGGCCAGGGAGGCTCGTCAGATGGGAGTACGACATACCGCCGCTGCAGTGGGGGGGCGCGACCATTGTTGTGGGCGCTCGACCAGACCAGGGAGACCGGCAGCAGAGCAACGCGGAATTAGAGAGTGAGAGAGAGGAACGGAGCCTTCCTGGACCAGCTTCGGCGGCACCGTCGGCGGAAACCTAAGCAATGGCGTGGAATGTCAACGATCTGTTTAGCGGGCGGCCCTCTGCTCGTCCTACTTCCGCGAAAGCATCGGCAGGAAAACGGAGAAGCAGCAGCAGCAGCAACAAGGACGGAGGACTTCACAGTAGCAGCAGCAATAGCAGCGCCAGCGGTCCTCCAACAAGAGCAAGGAGCGGCCAAGCCGCCCAAAGCGGGGTCATCAACTCGGCCCTGTGGGCCATCGCTCGCACGCAGGCCCTGGTGGACGCCGTCGAGCACGTGGAGGCCAAGCACGGCGACGCCCCGGTGCTCTCAGCCATGTTGCACACCCTCCGCCGGGCGGACCTCAACGATGCCTCGAGCATACGGCAAGCGGCCGAAGCCTCGAGCACGTTTCTCCAAGCGAATCCCTGCCAGTGCTACACCCCAATGCACCCCATCGACGTGATTCGGGGCATCGTGGGCACTTGCGCGGACTCCGAGGAGGTTTTCAAGGCAGCCCTGACGACAACCTACAGGTGATTTGATGAGCAGCTCCACCGTTGTGATGCTAGACGGTCCTATCATACACTGCTGTGTACTGCCTGTTGCACTGCTTCTATTAGGATACTGTTGGTGGATCTGTGCCCAGCAGGGGCGATGTGCAAAGCCAACAACAACCAAAGCTGCGGAAGCATTTGGCCCCCGGTGTGTCATGAGACACAAGCAGCCCCCGATGACGTGTCTCTCCTTTCTTGACAAAAAACAGGATTACCAATGAATGCACCCTCTGTTCGTGGAAGGAGGCGAAAGGTACAGCCACCGAGGACAAGCTTGAGTGCACAACCTCCGACAGCGTGCAGATGGCGATCGAGCTCCGCTCTGCTCACAACATCAAGACGGGCATTTGCCCGAAGTGCCAGAAGAAGAGCGTCGCGAGGGTGATGCAAGAAAAACAAGTAGACTAGTTGCCTACGTTTTCCCTCTTTTCTTGCGCACTGCTGCTCCAGCAAGGTGAACGCCTAATTCGCGTGTCCTATGCCGCGCTTCTGGTACTGCAGTGTGGGGGTGGCGACTGACCATCAGCAAGGTGGTTGGTCTAGCTTGAGCTTTGTCCCTCGAAGGTGGTTTCACCAAGCAACGCGCAAACGGCGCACATCGTGTTTGTGATCCGTGTACCCGCGCCGTTTTCCTGTTTGGCACCCGACTGCTGTAATCGCTCCGCAGAGATACAGAATAGATAGAACAGCGCCGTGCTTTGTGGCGACGTGGACTGGTCTCGCCAAGGCGAAGCCCGCGCGAGAGTCTCTGTTTATCCTCACCACTTTTGGCGAGAGTTTGCGGTTCTCTCTCGCCGTCATGATCGCTTTTTGCGACCGAAAAGCGGTCTGCCTCTTCAGGTATGTATGACAACGTGTTCGGGAGCGCGGGGGGTTTCGAGCGCGGAGGGGCTTTTCGCGGCTTTTCGACGTCGCGAGAGCATCTTGCGCGCCCCTTTCATTTACCATGTTGTTGTGTCGTTTGCTCGAAGGTTGGTCTCTGGCGTTCGCAGGCAAGCAACCTAGAGAAATGAGTGGCATGCATCTACCGCGCGCGCATGTCGCCGCATATCGCGTGCATAACCACCTAGTGTCACCCTTGGCCGCGCGCACCCCAATGCCTTCACTCGCGCCTAGTCGTTGACACCCGCCACACCCCACGAAAACAGCGAGGGAAGCAACTACTACAAGGTGGAGGGGAGCAGCGTGAAGGTGATCACGAAAAGCGAGTGGCAAAACACCCAGCCGTGCCTGGCGCTGTTCAGCCGCCAGGTTGCTGGCGGGCGAGGAGGAGGCCTCTCTTCGTTCGCGCATGGCGGGGGTGCAAAGGCCGGAAAGAAGCGCCAGCGGGAAGAGAACGGCAGCGGGAAGTATTCTGCGAGCAACAGCGGCGGCGGCAGCAGGGCGCGGAGTGCGACGGCGGCGGTGGCGCCCGCGGCTGAGGTTATCGAATTGGACGATGATGACACCGATGGGGGTGATGCCAACGTCCCGGCGGGCGGCAGCGGACGCGGGAAAGACGCCAGTAGTAGTAGTAGGAAGAACGGTAGCGGTAGTAGCGTTAGCAACGGTGGGCACGAGCCCTACAGCCCTTGGGTGGCAAGCGAAGATGGCGCGACTGCTAACGGGTTGGAAGGGGAAGGAGAGGGCGAGAGGGAGCGCGATGGCGCAGGTGGAGCGCGGGAGGTAGCACGAACAACAGCGCCCAACGCGAAAAGCAACGACAACAAAGTGGGGCGATCCGGATTGTCGAGCGCGGGGGTACCGGACGCGGAACGATCAACAATCTCTGGCGCATTCAAGAGAATGTTCAGAGGCCGATCGGACGAAGGAGGCTGGCTTCGACGAGCGAACATGAGAGGCTCGTCGATGGTGCGGGAGGGCGAGAGTCCGGGCGGGGGGGGGGGGGG